TGTCGTCGCTATACATATCGTCACAATAGCTTACATATAGAGACAAAATATCGTCTCTAAAGGGTTCATCGTTATACGTTCCGATCACCATAGATAAAAGCTATAAAGACGGCATGTAGTCTCCATAGAAACAACTATAGAGACAACATGTCGTCTATAACTATTTTGCGGTTATTTTATCCGATTTGGTATTATGCAGTTGCGTTTGCGATTTTTAACCGTGTAGGTTTGGTGCGATTTTTTGTACCTTTGTTTGTGCTACTGATTTCAAACACTTAGTAATTATGTTATATATTATGACCGAAGTCGATGCTTCATAGTCATGGTTGGAGTCGGCGATGACGATGACAATTGGGTAAGATGGAGTTGAGGAAGAACGTCACCGTGAGTGTATGTGTGTGTGTAGGCTAGGGCACGAGCCACGAAGACGGTTTAATTTTCAAGATCCCGCTTAGACGCCTACTATCTTTTCCCTTTTAGTAATTATATATTTATATAATTATCAACTAAACAATAAATATTATACATGACTATTTAGTTTGTTAAATTCGGAGCGGTCTGGTTATTGAAAAAATTAGTAACTGCATCGCACCGAAAAATTTGTAATTTTTCGAAAATTAAAAACCTCACCATCGGTTTTCATTTCCGTTTCGGTTTATTGGTTTGATTTATACGGTTTTTTTCGGGTGTCTATAAATTCGGTTCGGTTTTTGCAAGGATATATTGGATGCTCAAGTTCCTTTTCTTTTAGGTGCTGTTTGTTTTTTCGAAGAGAAAATTCATTATGTCTGCGAACCACCTTTGCAATCCTCTGTAGCAGAAGAGGTGGAACAAACGGCTGCAACCTATAATAATAAGCGTGTTTGTTTTTTTAACATCTGCAGACTGCTGCAGTAAGCTGAAATTTAAATAAACTAACTTTATTAACTGAAAATAGTTCTCAACACCGAAATTTTAATAATTCTAGTCTTAAAACATTGAAAGAATACTAAAAAGAATATGTAAAAAAACAAAATATAAATTTTAAAAAAAAAAACTTAAAAAAATATAAAACAAGCTAACAGTTTTATTATAGAAAAAAAACTAATTGTAAAAAACATAAAAAAAGAAAATAATAAAAAAAATTAGAAAGTATTGCAAACGATGTCTACAAATTTGTAAAAAATTACACACATTAAAAAAGATGCAACTGAAACTGAAATTATTATTAACAGAAACGGTAAAAAAATTAAAAAAATCAAAGTTTTTTTTTTAAATCAAGTTAAAAAAATTTGTGGAAACTATAAAAAGAATTTGTATCAAATCCGTAAATAAAAGTTTAAAAAAAATCAAAGTTTAAAAAAAATAAGTTATACAAAGTTCTAAAAAAAACACTTGGAAAAAATGAAAGCTGAAGAGGTTTGAAGAGAAAAGTCAAGTGTTGCGCCACGCAGCACACGCGCAAAAGTTTTGTAGTCTGAAGCCTTCCAAAAAACAAACTGCTGCGAGAGGGAAAGTGTTGCGCGCGTGCTGCGCCGCGCAGCAAAAAATGGTTTGAAGAAGTTTTTAAAAAAAAAAACAAATAACATCTTAGTCTTGGAATCAACAAGGTTTCAAGGAATAAGCCAATAAGGTAGGAATTCGTTTTCCTTTGTCTTTGGGCTTTGTGTCATTGCATCATGATGTAAATGTAGTCGGGCTAAACAATATTGGTTTGGTGTTTTATAATTTTTTTTTATGATATAAACACAAGTATGTGATGTATTTCCGATATTAATGAAGTATTACAAGATTTAGGAACCACCCATTGGTGATTTTAAAGTTAATGGTAGACCTGGCAAACGTGTCGTGTCGTGTCGGGTTCGTGCCGTGTCAAGACCTTAAACGGGTTGAGAGTGCTTAACTCTAACCCGACCCGTTTAATTATCGTGTCGTGTCGTGTCAACCCGTTTATTTTCGTGTCGATTTCGTGTCGGGTTTCGGGTTAAGGTTTAAACCTTATAAATATGTTGTGTCATGTCGGGTTGAAACATTTTAAAGGTTGAAAAGTAAGACTCATGGAGGAAAAATACTGAGAAAGTGAAATGCTGGAGTTGGGAGGTGGAATGGAAAAAAAATTATACTCCCTCCGTCCCATATTTATTGTCCATTTTTGACTTTTGAAGTTTTTATTTTTCTACTTTGACCTTAAATAGTTTTATTTGTGTTATAAATTACTTGATAAAACTTATAACAATGAAAATACATTTAAAACACAATCCATTCATATATTTTGCATTAAGTGTTATATATCAAAAACAAAAGTATTTAAGGTCAAATTTGAAGAATAAAGACTTCAACAGTCAAAATTGGACAATAAACATGGGACAGAGGTAGTGGTAAGTTTAGAAAGAAAAATGGAAAGAGTTAAGAGTTAGGATGCAAATGAGATAGATAGTAGGATGAGTAAAATTAAGTCATTTTAAAAGTTTGAATTTTACTTTTAATTCTTGAATTTGGGCCACTACAAATGTATAATATTGAAAATATTTATAAAAATATGATATAT